GGTATGTCGGGAAGATATTACATGGGGTATTTGAATACTAATAAAAAAACAAATTACATAATTCGTCAGTACTCCACGAGACGAATTTTTTAAATCTAATTAATCTGTTATTTGCACATGTTTACTGTAGCAACATTGTCAAATTATAGACTAATTATGCTTAAAAGATTCGTTTCGTAAATTAGTCACAAACTATGCAATTAGTTTTGTAATTAATCTATATTTAATCATCCATGCATGTGTCTAAACATTTGACGAAACAATGACTAAAATTTAGGAGGGATAACCAAACACCCCCTTAATTGTTATTATATAGTAGAAATATTTAACACCAATGTCAGCAGCAGCGTGTCAGCGGTAGGAATGAATGCGCACAGCCAACGTCAGCAGCAGCCCTTGTTTAGTTCGCGAAATTTGGATTTTGGGGCTACTGTAGCACCTTCATTTTTATTTGACAAATAGTGTTCAAACATGGACTAATTAGGCTCAAAACGTTCGTCTCGCAATTTCCCACCAAACTGTGCAATTAGTTTTTCTTTTCGTCTACATTTAATACTCCATGCACGAGCCGCAAACATTCGATGTGACAGGTACTGTAGTAACTTTTTAGAAATTGGAGTGGAACTAAACAAGGGCGAAGTTCAAATAAATACTAGGTTCAAGACATATGTATAAATATCCGAGGATACAATTGTAAAGTTTGAGGGTTTGTACACTTGTGTAATCATTAGTCCCACTGAGGAAAATAAATATAAACAGCCATCTCAGCATCTTTCCTCTCTCCTATAATAGAGCCATAGGGTGAAAGGTCACTGCGACTCTGCGAGTGCACAAAGGAGGGATGAATTTGGTGCCAATTTCAAAACTTAACTCTAGGGCTCAATGAAAACCACAAGCTAAATCAAGCATGATGTGTACTTAAGATTTTTTAGCGTGCTCTATCTTACCCTCAACCGACAAAGAGTTTTAGCAATTTAAACCAATCCTACCAACTAGCCTATAGCCAATCTAATCTAGAAAGATAAATGTCACACAAGCAAAACACAAACAGCAAGCAATAAGCATGGTAAGTAAAGAGCTAGAGATGGAGTGGACAAACTACCACAGAAGATTTATCCCAACCCCGTCCTAGTTCATGGTGGCGCTCCACCGAGGTACGTTCCTCTAATCCTGTTCACCAAGTCTCTTACTGTCACAAGACTAGCACTAAGGCCCCTGCCAACCAAATGCAAGTGCCGTGTGTCACCAAGTCTCAGAATCGTCACACACTCTTTTGGCCACCTTGACGTTTTGTCCACTATAGAGTTTCTCCATGAAGGAAGGGGTCTCCTCATCCCTCGCACACCAACTCTAAAAGCCCTAGTTTGGTTTTGGATAATTGATGAAACCTATGGACTAATCCTTGATCTAAGTGTGTAGACAAGAGATGATGGTCTAAAGCCAAGTGATGGAGCTAGATGATGGTCATGGTGATGGTGGTGACCAAAAGAGGTGATCAAGTGCTCTAACTTGGAAAAAAAGAAAGAGAAAAACAAAAACAAGTGTTGATCAAGGCAAATGTATCAAATAGGTTTTTGTTTTGGCACTCAAGACACCATAGAGTGTGTGAATGTATTTAGAATCTATACCCGTACTATAAAGAGGGAAAAATCTTTGGTCAAGCGGTTATCGAGCGCCACTAGGTGAAGTGATTCATGCATATGCATTTAGGGACCTAGTGTGCTAACAATTAACCCTTGAAAATACTTTTGAAAATATGCTAACACGCGTGCACAAGTGGTGAGACACTTTGGTGTTGGCACGTGGAAGCAAGGGTGAAGTGAAAAAGAAGAGAAGGGGCCACTCACTGGTGACCAGACGCTGGTCTCGGCTTGACCGGACGCGTCCGGTGCTTGACCCTAGGTGGCACAGCACTTGGCCGAGAGGGCTGAATTGGGACCGGACACAAGACCGGACTTGGGCGCGGCGTCCGATCATTCATGGCAGAAGTGGGGCTGCTCGGGCGGTCAATCGGACTCTGGAGGGGTCGCGCGACCGGACGTTGGGTGAACACTGTTCATGTGTCCGGTCATGGCATTGAGAAGCGCGCAGAGCAGAGCGGTGAAGACCCAAAATTCTTCTCTGGTGCCTTTCTGGACTCGACCGGACGCCACGTGTTGGTGAGTCCGGTCATTCTAGTGTCGAGCCCGGTCACATTTTAACTGCGCGAATGAACGTTAAGTGACCATTGAGATCTGATGTGCGAGATTCAAAGGGGCGACACGTGGGTGGCCAGGGTTGACCGGGCCCAGCGGACCAGACACTGGGGTGCGTCCGGTCACGCCTGCGATTGCCAATGGCTCTCTGAGCCTTGGGACCTCTATAAATAGAAGGGACATGCCTTGGGCTCACACTCTTGCACATTTTCATCAGTGATACATCCTTGTGAGTCTAAGCAAACACCTCCCACTCATCTCCATCATTTATTCACCATCTTTGTAAGATTGGGAGTGATTCCTAGTGTATTTGCTTGAGTGATTTCATCTAGTGGCACTTGAGGATCGTTGTGGCTGCGGATTTTCTTGTTACTCTTGGTGGTTGTCGCCACTTAGACAGCTTGGAGCAGCGGAGGAGCATTAGCACAAGTTGGTGATTGTTTGTGGCCATCTCCCAATGATTTGTGAGGGGTCCTGTACCTTCCCCGGCGGAGAGCCAAAAGGTAACTCTAGTGGATTGCTCGTGTCATTGAGTTACCTCACTTGTGAGTAGGTTCTTACGGCGCCTAAGTGTTGGGCTAGGTGTGTGATACATATTAGCCACCGAATCACCAAGTGTTGGTCGACACAATGAGGACTAGCGTGTCGGCAACCACATGAACCTCGGGAGAAAAATTGATTGTCTCTTATGCATTGGATTTCTCCCTTGGGATTCATATTGTGATTGATCATCTCTTGCCACGTGCGGTATACCTCTCTCTACCTCGTGTATTTACATTCCTAGAAATATCTTGTGTAGAGGTAGTTGACTAGCTAGTGTAGCTGAGTTGGTAATCTAGTTGTAATTAGCTAGCTCACTAGTATAAGAGTAGTGACATAGCATTTGTGTGTGCCTAGAGATTGTAAAGAATTATAATTGTGGTATAGGTGGCTTGCAGCCCTTGTAGAGCTAGAGCAAAATTGCATTTCACCATTTAAATTACTAACCCTTCTAGTGTATTTGTAGAGAATTTTTATAGGCTATTCACCCCCTCTAGCCATTTAGGACCTTTCATACTCGCTACCGCTCCACATGAAGATCGAAGATCCACCAAGGCCGTCCCTAGAGGGACACATAAATCTCAAGCACTCTGGATCAGCAAGACAAATGGGCGTAACAACCCTTACTTACAAAGATCTCAACATCTAAAGTCTAACACTCACAAAGATGAACTGTGGTATCTATCTTAACATTGGACATGATCTCAATGCACTTGAAAGGGTTAGCGTAGAAACATTTTCCTTAGCTTCTAGCAGTCTCAATGTACGCAAACAACATCCGATCCGACAAACTATTGGAACTTATATTCCCCCTCTAATAGCCGTTGGACAAAGCGTGCAACTTTTCTGCATTGCATCGAATGATCTGCCGCCTACAAAGATGTCTTCTCTTGCATTCCTAGGACCTATTAGAACATGTCTATCATACCTTTAGCATTCATGTCAGTCCTAGGCTTGTGTTGTCATCTAAATCACCAAAGCTAAAGACATGATCATGTAAAGGGCCTATGATCCTTACATAGGGCTTAGGGGGAGATGACTTTTTGGCCTTTAGTTGTTCTCTTGTTCACTTTCTAAACTTTTTCTCTATTCATTAGGGTAATCTCCAATGGTTGACGCATAACATGATTGGTATGAGTAACTTTAATATTTTTTAGAGGAGCAATTTTTGAGAGTAGCCTTCGACAAATGGTTGTGTGCACCCTTTGGACATTTGGTTTTCATGCATGTTAGCTTATCAATTCAACAAGAACTTTAGGATTGATAAGAAAGTTACTACACATAATTTTTTGTTAAGAAAAATTCAAACATCTTGATAAGTGGAGAAGGTTAGTATAAACCAAATATGGCTACACCTTCATATAGTCTTTGAGATTCCTTTGGAACAAACACTAATTATAAGGCTTAAATATTAATGTCCTTAGAGCAATAATACTGATGATGTGTAACTTTCACAATTTGGGAGCCTCCTTGAACAACTCTTAAAAAAAGTCCTCTAAAATGGAAAAAAAATGAATTAAAGATGATCTCCATCACATTCATCTCAATATATTGGAAACAACATAACCAAACAAACAAGCTACATGGAGGCTACATACCAACCTTAGAGTAAGTTAGTATGGTGTGTAACCTTCAAAATTTAGGAGCCTCCATGGTTAATTTGGTGCAATAAGCCTTATAAAAGGGAGAAAGATGCTTTTCCTTCACACTCATCTGAAAATATAATATTTAGCCAAAGAAACAAGCTAGAAAATTGGAAGGTTCCTAGTTACCAACCTTCAAATAAGGAAATGGTGTTCATCTCCTTTCAGAATTGGGAACCTCCACAAGAAACTTGGTGAAAAATAGCTGCAAGAATGGTCTTCATTCGGAAAAGAGCAAGGAAGAGATTTATATCTCCAATCAGATCAGAAAACCCTACTTTCTGATTAGTTTTCCTTTCGCAATGTCACTGCCATTACATATTACAAGTTTGCCTTTTCATTGTCACTGACACGTACAGATGACACAGATTACAAGTTTGCAATCAAGAGATTTATTGACTGCCACCGAACACATACACACGTCTGATGATCACTATTTAAGATATGGGGCCTCTCTCTCCAATACAACTATATCAACCTAGCCGACTTATTTTGTTCCTTGATAACACCCGGTCCACACACAGAACAGGTACAACACACAGTGGTATTTCTTTCATAAAATAGAGGAGCCATTAATTTTCTATAGGAAGAAGGTGAAGAAGCAGCAATCTGAAAGAAGGCTTCACTTGCACAAATACTTGAGAATACCAGGGATGTGGATTCTGGTGAAGTAATCGTCCCAGTCGACGGTCTTGGGGTCGAAATTGAACATTTGATCCTCAGGGGTCTTCATCGCCATCGTCAGCCTCAGCCGCTCCATGTTCATGTCATCGAAGCTTCATCACCATCACGCAAGAAAAGAAATGTTACTCTTTTTAATTAATTCAAGAATATAGATGCGCGGTCCTTAGCTTAATTTGCTGAATCAATTTTTATATATGAAATGAGGGAGTGGTAATATATAGTTTTTATGTGAACATTATGTATGTTTACCATCCTTTGAAGAAGGCGAAGGGGCCGTAGACGTCAACGAGATGCATCACAAACTTGTACTTGCGGTTGAGGTCGTCGTAGAGCCGTGAGAAGAGCCCACAGAGCAGCAGATTCACCAAGTGCAGAATCTGTATTACCATCATCTATCAGTTTTTTTTTTGAGGAAACACCATCATATATCAGTTGATAGCAAAATCAAGGCACACATGTCGATCTAACCGTATCGTACCTCTAGTGGTATCTTGTAGGTGAGGATCATGTAGAGGTGGAACCTAGCGATGGTGTTGAAGAAGTACATCTCCCTGGTGGGGATGACCCTGCCGTCCTTCCCAACGCGCGGGTTCTCGTAGAAATGTCGGCGTCCAGACTGGTAGAGCACGTCGTAGGTGGCCGGGTTGCGCAGCGACGAGGTGACATGGTACACCACCTGCGGCGCGGCCTTCTCCCCGGAGTGCGCCACCACGGCGGCCATCATGGCGTTGACCACCATGTCCCCCGGGATGACGTCCATGACGAGGCCGAGGTCGGCGAGGAAGCACGACAGGTTCTGCTTGGCGTAGCCGATGATGATGCTGTCGATGGTGCGCGTGCCCTGCATCCACCCGGGCACCGGGTCGTCCCGGACGCTGGTGATGATGCTGGGCCGCATCACCACCACGGGGATGTCGCTGTCGCCGCTGCCGCCGCCGCGGCGGAGCTGCTGGCCCAGGACCACCTCCCCCATGGCCTTGGTGAACACGTACGTGTTGGACCACCCGAAGTGCCGCGCCCGCTGCAGGCCCAGCTCCTTCATCGCCTTCCGCTCCGTCATCTTGTCGGTGTGCGCGTCGCCACCGTCGCCGTCGCTGGTGGCGTTCGCCATCGCCAGCGACTTCTTCACCTCCTTGACCAGGCGCAGCTCCGTGTCCACGTCCAGGTACGTGCCCTCGCGCAGCGAATCGCCGGGCTTGATGGGCTTCTCCAGGATCAGGCCCTCCCTGAAGCCCGAGACGAACGCAGTGGAGACGTGCATGAGCAGCTTGAGCCTGGCGCACTGCTTGGCGAACGTGCACAGGTGCTTCACTCCCATCACGTTTACATCCAGCGAAACATCATATCTGCATCCATACGCATCAAAGTTCAAAATATACCATTCGCAAAAAAAAAAAAAATCAAAATATACATAAATACATTCAAATATCGTTCGAAAAAGAGAGAACGATTTTCTCATGCATTACTCAAATATACTTCACCACCTTTCGTAGAAGTTGGTGGTTGCTGCGATGTTGACGATGACGTCGGTGTCCTTGGTCAGCGCGTCCAGCACGGGTGGCTCCAGGCCCAGGCCGTCGTATATGATGTCTCCGGCCAAAGCGACAACCTTCTCGTCCACGAACTGCTGGAACCCCTTGGCATGCTTCTCTCTCAGCAGGCCGAACAGCTCCGTGTCTATCACCTGTAGGGTCCCTTCGGTTAGCCCGGAACTATTCCGGCTTATTATCAACATTATATAAATTAATGAATTAGTGAATCATTCCTGCCGAGAACCGCTCCAAAGACTTTCCTGAATAACCGAACGAACCCGTAGTGTGTATTCGATCCATGCATGCACACACTATCCACTCACACACGCTCGCAAAAATAATTTATTACCCCTATAAATCTAGTTAGATTTAAAATAAATTGACTTAGCAAAAAACAAGATATGCAGTAATTTAAGACAGAGCGAGTACTACAAGAATCTCTAAGTAGATACAAGGTGAAAAGAAGCATTGTCACTCATATGGCCCACGACTTGTTATACACATGCTGTGTATACTCCCAGCTAGGACTACAAGCAAATAAATACTGTATGTTCTGTTCCAGTACAGTACTGCTAGTATGTTTTTTTTTTAACTTTTACCTAATTGATCGATGAATTATTGGAGGTTGTTGTCGCATGCATAATGTGGGTGGAGCGAGGTGGACCACGACCATTTAGAGGCAGGCAGGAAGCATAGCAAGTCAAGAAAAGAAATGAATTCTCATTTACACAGTCACCAACACCAACTAGCCTGCATATGTCTCATTCAATATTCCTGATTGCTGCGCTAGTATGCGCTAAATTTTAGCCTGCTAAAAGTTCTCTCAGCTAAGCTGGGCCCTATTCGTTTGAACTTATTCTGATACAGTGTTTTTTTCTCACAACAAATTAGCGAACAGTGTTTTTCAGTCTGGCTTATCAGCGAAACGAACTTCGAATAGGACCGAGGTGTTTGGATCCTCCAGCTAATAGAATCAGTTAAACTTTAGTGGGTGAGCTAAGTTGAAGTAGCTAAACTTTAGCTGGTCTTTAGGTGGATTGTTTGAATCCTTAGCAGTTAAATTTAGCCGGTCAAAACACTGCAGCAAGTACCGTAGTTACAGTACATCAGCAGTCGGGAATCTTTAAGCAGCAATCAGGAATCTTTAGGCTGTGTTTAGTTGTATGAATTTAGATTTTGGAGCTGTAGCATGTTCGTTTTTATTTGGTAAATAGTATTCAAACATGGACTAATTAGGCTCAAAACGTTCGTCTCGTAATTTCCCACCAAACTGTGCAATTAGTTTTTCTTTTCGTCTACATTTAATGCTCCATGCACGGGCCGCAAACATTCGATGTGACATGTACTGTAGCAAATTTTTAGAAATTGAGGTGGAACTAAACAAGGGCTTAATCAGGAATCAGTAAAAAGGTGGCTCTTCTCCAGCTCCTGGAGGAGCACACCGTTTTTACTAAACACGCAAACTCTCAGCAACTTCTTACTTAGCCGAGTCTGGTCGCTGGTTGGTTTTAGCCAGCTCAAACCAGTTAGTTAATAGTATTTTTTTCTCACAAAAAACCAGCATCAGTCAGCAGTCAGCCTAAACCAGCATCAGCATCAACCAGCAAATAGACCTATAGGAGTATTTATAGGAGGTGTACGTGTTGGTGCGCGTGAAGCTGGAAAACAAGTTTTTATCAGCTCTCTGAGCATTTTTCTTCTCTCAAGGCTCTCAGCCATTCATGATGAGAAATTATTTAGCTAAATATTTTATCAAAATGATTTTTGTCCTGTTCGTTTGGCTTATAAGCTATATTTTTTCAATTAACTAACAGTATTTTTCTCTTACAACTAATCAGTCAACGGTACTTTCAGTCATGACTTGTGAGCCAAACGAAATGATTAGCTTTACCAATAAAGTTAGGCTAAAAAAACTGCTAGCTTTAATTACCCAGCGCCAGCGGGGCAGTACTACTTGACTGGCTTTTGTGCACTGATCTAGCAATAGGCTATGGCAAGATGATAGGACAGGCAAAATTAAAGTGCCGCTGGACTACTGCGGGCAGCGCGCAAGAGAAGTCAGATCCAGCCATGCATTGCTTGGAGCCTGCCGGACTAGCTAGCTAGCTAGCCGCCGGAGTAGGTGTGGCGCCATGAAGGAGAAGGTACGTACGGAGCATGTAGGCATGCAGCTAGTAGCTAATACTACTAGCCCAGATCCGTCCGCTCCAGCTGCCGCCGCCGGCCGGCTGATCCGTCGCAATTACTGCCACCTCCGGCCGGCCGGTCGGTCCTCCCCGCGCGCGGCACGGGCAACTGAGGCCGTGCTGTAACACTTTCGTTTGTATTTAGTAATTAGTGTCTAATTATAAATTAATTAGATTTAAAAGTTTCGTTTCGCGATTTCTTATCCAACTGTACAATTAGTTTTTTTTTCGTCTACATTTAGTAATCCATGCATGTGCCATAAGATTCGATGTGACGGGTACTGCGCAAAATTTTTTAGAATCTAAACGGGGCCTGACAAAATGCTTCATCGTGCCTCGCCTTGGGACTCGTTTAGATTGGGCTTAGGAATCAGTATTGGCACTGTAGTACTTTTATTTGTATTTGACAATTATTGTCCAATCATGACCTAAGTAGGCTTAAAAGATTCGTCTCGTAATTTACAATCAAACTGTGTAACTAATTATTTTTTTATCTATATTTAATATTCCATACATATGTCCAAAGATTTGATGTGATGGAGAGAAAATGAAAAAACTTGTAATCTAGACAAGACCTTGCTCTATGGGGTGGTGTGACTGGGACTGCTAAAAACTCTATCGCGGAGTAGCTCCACGAAAAACTGAAGTTTTCGAAGCATCTCTTTAGGCTCGTAACTTCATCCTTTTTCTTTAAAAATATTACGTAGAGCTAAAACCATTTGACTAAATAATATAGAGCGGAGTAGTTTCCAACACCCCCAACTTCATGGGGCATGCATATGCATGCATCCGGAGACCATGCATGCATCTCGATCATCAATAGGATCGATCTCGATGCACAATGGAACGGACACGGCTCATGATGTTTCCCTTATATTAATTCATTGCTCGGATGGATTATATAGGAGTATTATGGAGTACGAGATTCAAGCACTTAACGCTTTTGGCAGTTTTTAAGAATCTAGCTTTTACGAGTTAGGTGGCATCAGACAGATCCGTTTTTGCTATGAGTTTTTGTCAAATTCTTAAAAGTCAAAAAGCTGTTGATATCCGGCTTTTACTAGCTTTTTATAACCCATAGAGCAATAAATAAAGTTATATTCTTAAAAACTTGCGATCCAACACCTTCACTAATTTTTAGTCAGAATTCAGATTTTAGAAACTAAAAACAAAAACCGGTTTTTAAGACACAGGGCTAGGTCGCGGCCGGTATGCATGCGTTTCGAATGGAGTTAGTGGGCCGGTTGGGAAATAAAAGCGATCGTTACCGGCCGTATGCAAGCAACATATGTCACTGTATGTACCTTCCGTCCTCATACAATTGCATGACAACGACGTGCACACTATTTGAACACACTTGTTGGCCTGGTTTAGATTGGGATTAGAAATTAGTATTTGATACATAATATTTTCGTTTGTATTTGACAATTATTGTCCAATTATAGCCTAACTAGGCTTAAAAGATTCGTCTCATAATTTACAATCAAACTGTGTAATTAGTTATTTTTTTATCTATATTTAATACTTCATGCATGTGTCCAAAGATTTGATGTGACGAAGAGAGAGTGAAAAAACTTGCAATCTAAGGCCTTATTTAGATTGCAAATTTTTTGCAATCTGGACACTATAGCACGTTTCATTTCTATTTGACAAACTTTGTTCGATCATGGACTAACTAGGCTCAAAAGATTCGTCTCGTGATTTACAACCAAACTGTGTAATTAGTTATTTTTTACCTACATTTAATGCTCCGTACATGCGTCTAAAAATTAATGTGAGAGAGAGAGTGAAAAAACTTAGAATTTTGAAGCAATCTAAACAAGCCTAAACAAGGCCGTAGCAATAAATTAACGTACGTACACATGTTTGTTAAGTTATTCAGCCTATTCGTTTGTTGGTTTCACTAGCCCAAACCAGCTAGCCAACAGTGTTTTCCTCTCTAAAAAATCAGCACCAGTCAGCCCAAACCAGCACCAGCACCAACCAGCGAACAGGCTGATTAAGGAATAAAGGGAGCACTGCGCATCACTAATAACAATTAATGGAGACATAACTTAATTAAGCAGGATTGAAGAACGCGATGGCAACTATACTAGCTAGCAGTAATAGTAGACACATCGTTAACGAAGAGGATGATGAGTGTGCATGCAGGTTAAAAATGAAGACGACTAGCTATTTACCTCTTGCTGGACGCGCTGCTTTGCAGATGGCTCGTCGATCGCACGTACAACAAGGTAAATCTTGTGGACGTCAGGCTGCACCCGCAATATCTTCTCCACAAGAACTACATCATGAATGGATGTAGATATGTTACATGCACATATCATGGTAAATATGTGCAACAACAAACTAATAAATCATTACTACTACTATCCAACAAAAGGCAGAAGAAGCTATATATCTACTACTCCCTCCGGTTCTCTAAAGCAAGTCGTTTTAGGATATCGACACGGTCTTTAAGAAACGACTTTTGACTGTAATTTTTTGCTATAAAATATTTATAAAATATAGTCAATATATATTTTTATGAAACTACATTTCGAGATGAATCTACTTACATTACTTTCATATTTTCAAACTCAACCCAAAAAAAGTTATTTGTAATCAAAGTTTAAAATATTTGACTTAAGACAATCTCAAAACGACTTGCTTTAGAGTTAGAGAACCGGAGGGAGTACTACTTCTTCGATTACATCTGCAAAGATACAGTACACACTTAATGACTTATATATATAGGTATAGAAACTACACATACTCTTTCCAAGAAAGCCTGTTGAGCCGGTGACGAGGATGCACTTGCCCTTGAAGTAGTCTATGATCCTCGCCGCGTCCATGCTATCCACCATCATCGTCTCCTCGCCGCCGACGATCGTTTTGCCTTTGCCTACGATCGAGATCTCAACTCTCAAGCTAGCGAACCCGGCCTCGCTAGCTCTTGACTGTTGTTTGATGAGGCAGCAGAGAGAAAGAAAGGAGACACTGCACTTCACTGCACTAGCTAGCTAAGTGTGTTGTGTAAGATAAATTGTATGGCGATAGAGATGAAGAAGAGACACAGAGAGAAGTTATAATAAAGAGATGGAGGGCAGATAGAGGACACGGAGAAGCAATGCAAGCACCAAATAAACAAAAAATAAAAATAGGACGCATCTGCACAAATATTTATATACACGCAGACGCAGAGAGGAGGAGGAGGTAGGCATGTTGCAGGAAATAAATGTAATGATGGTACTGTGCATGGTGGCGTGTGGGGTCAATCACTCGATGCAAATTTAAACATGCGAGGACCGTCTCTGCAGTCTGCACCGGAATAAATTTTGGCAGACCATACGTAATTAATGGTGGTTTCTATCTCTATTAAATAAAATACCAACTCAGTAAAATGCTGACACGGTAGCTTAATTAATGAAGAAAGAGATGAAAAATAGAAGAAACCGTTTCTTCAAGAGGAAACGAAGTCGTCTCTCGAATCGATGCACGAAGAAACTGTGATTTCACTGTTGGGAAGAAACGAGTCGTTTCTATCAAGTTGCGGCGCCAGTGATGGCTTGCTGGCCGCCGCGGCACGCTCGCTCGCCAACGGCCCCAGCGCTTACCCTGCAGGCCGCGCGCTTGCCAGCTGCCACCGCGCTCGCCCGCGCCGCCGCTGCGCTGGCCGCCACCACGCTGGCCCGCTCGCTCGCCGGCCGCCACCATGCTTGCCCGCACCGCTGCTACACGCGCTAGCAAGCAGCCACCGCGCCAGAACAGCGCCAAAATCACGAGGCCGCGGTGCCGGAAGGGGCAGGACAAGAAGGTCGTCGTCATCTACTAGGGCATCCAGCCGCGGAAGATCATGAAGGAGGACGACATGGAGTGGAGGTGGTTCTGCTTCAGGCTGAGCACTTGATCTGCTCTACACATTGCAACCGCCGGGTTCCAATTTGTGATGGTCGTCGTTTGATTGTTCGTTGTTCGTTCATATGCATCATGTACATACGTGCAGCCATGGGACACGTATAGAGCGGACACGTCGATCGACATGAAGAAGCACCACGAGCCACCGGCGGCAGCGCACAAGACTTGGGCAGCCACACGACTTTGCCCACCATCAAGACGCGCGCCTTCATACTGTCACAAGACGCGCTCACCGGCAATCACAAGACCTTCGCCAGCGCCGCAGCCAAGACTCAGCGTCTTGGCACTCTCTCGCCAAATTGAGCTTCGCCCACTCAGAGAGAGTACCAGAGGCGAGAGCATCCATGGTAATCGGTGGAGGAAGAGAGAGAGAGAGAGAAAAACACACATTTATTACGCGAAGAAACCTGCATTGTGGGGATAGTTTCTATAGACGAAATTTTGCTGACGTGGTCACTACGGAAACCGTGCGTAGTGTCTACCGTTGGGACTGCCCTGAGGAGCGCCTTATGTACAGTTGTGTACTACTCCTTGTGTCCAAAGAAGAGTATGTTATAATATTCGTGTCAGTCTAACAAGCTTAAGTTTAATCAAATTTATTGTGAATAATATTAATATTTATGTTTTCAAATATAATTATAAGATTCGTGCTAGTCAAACTAGGGACTAGAGGCTAAGAAAACCTAGAGAAAGACAATAGGAGAGATGGACAGGTTAGGAGCAGTCATCCTCTTATTATAGAGCTATTACACAAACCCTAATATGTCCTTAAATATTTTGGATAGACCACTTAACTCTAGAGCCAAAATGGTCCAACTTAAGATCAAACATCCGATAGCTATGGGCTCTTCACGACTTTGCTTTGCCTCGATACAAGCTTCGCGTTGACGCCACGTGCGTCCTCCCGTTCCTATCGAAACTCCAATCGGGTTTTGAGGTCCAAACCCAAAAACCGTTCAACGGTGGGTTTGAGGCCCAAACCACCAAACTGCCTGGAGACGTGTATCTGCTACGCCTCCTTCACTGTGGCAGAACCGCCCGAAATAACACACCTTCGGAGGCGCTTGTCTTCCACTAGACACTAAGCACCCCGAAAGTAAGCTACACCAGGCGGTTCCATCGAGCACACCCCAAGGGAGAACTCGAACAATCCACGTTTTTTCATCCAGAATCCAATAATGAGAATGAGTTTACTATACTTAGTCCATTTCATACAACAAGAGTTCTCAGAAATACATTATTAAAATACCAAGTTCAGAGTGCGGAATTTAAACAGCAAAATTGAAATATACATCTAACGATAAGATACAAGGGTCCGTCTGTGCCCACCAGAAAAATCCTCCACACAACAGTCACTCCTCAAGCTGCACCTACAACAGAGGTAAATAAACCCTAAGTACACAATGTATTCGTAAGACTTACCCAACTAGTGAGAATAATTTTCCGACTTCAAAGGATATGATAAGCTTTATGGTTTGCTGGGTTTCCTTTTTGCGAAAAGCATTACTTATAGTGAATCCTTATGTATGTGTCTTATTAGCAGTCATGATTAATTCATTAGCTAACCATTCTATGTAAGCACATGTTCTACTTTCAAGCAAGAGTTGAGCAATAAGATCCATTCATCATCTTTCATCTTTCAGTTCTTACTATGGTGCTAGACCATAGCCAAGTCGTACCGTATCACACGGCGATTCATGAACCAATGTATCCTAGCTGGGTACCCCGAAACACATGCCCCGCTTATACCCCAGGCACAAGCAAGACCAACCCACCACTCTCCTATCAAGGGGTCTAGGTCCCCATCCAAACTTGGACTCCAAGCCCCCACTCCTGAGTCCTGGACTCAATGTGGTGCTTAGACCTCCACCATCTCCGCCTCCAATCAGTCGGTTCGGAAAGAGCCGGAACCCACGACAAGAGAGCAATGAGTCTTCCCGCTCTCATAAGCAAGTATGTGCTCAGGATAATAAGTCTGTGACCTGACTACCATCCACAGCAACGGACGATCCTTAACCGATATGGACAGGGAAAATAGTGTAACCAAGCTATGCTCTATTGGCCGCGGGACACAACCTATTACACCCACCAATATCCGTACCATATCCCTGCCCGGTCTCCATTTCCTTTCATAATTTTATCATGAGAATAATAATAATAATTACCTATTGTGAGTAATGGCAGGTTACTCACGCTACCGATAGCTTAAGCATAGCAGCTACTCGACCTATGCTAGTAGGACTTATAGGTAGGTTTATCTATGCATGTAGTTTCAATATAAATCCTGTAACATAAATGCACATCACATATATATATCCAGTGATTATTCAAAATAAGGGTTATGCACCGGGGCTTGCCTTGGGCATGCGGATTGTTAGCTATGTCGGTCGTCGGTGGCTCTAAGGCTTCCTCCTATACGACAACCTCCTCTCGTACTGCTCGATCACCTCCTCGTGCTCTTGCTCTCCAGTGGTCACGAACTCCACCAACTCGTTCTCTACATGCATGCAACGATGATGCAACACTTAGTATTTTAGCAACAATAGCTCTTAAAATAAGAACACATCTACTAATCTACTAAGCTAACTCTAATGACTAAGATACTAAGCTAACTAGTATTTTCATCAAACAAGGTACAAATTCATCTAACACGTATTAACTTAACAACTAAAACACATTCTTACTTCTACTAGCGATTTAACATATATTAAAACAAGGAGTATCTAACTACCTTAAAGCTTAGCCTATTCTAAGGCTACAAAAATTACAGTGAGCACATAATAATACCAGAAAACTACCATAAAATTTTTAGAGCTAAAGCTATTACCATTTTACCACAAAAATTCCTTCAATTATTAACCTAATAATATTAAGTATTTCCAATTGATTTAATATACCTCAGTTTCATCATAGATATGTATGAAATAATTATACTAACAGATAGATAAAGAATTTAAGAGCCTAACAAAATTGGTTTCACGATTTGTGGATACCTATATGAATTGTTGTTAATTATCAAAGTTCAACACATAAACTAAAATATAAGACTATTTCTATTTTCTAATAAAAGAAAAAACGAATTCACCAGCGTGGCCCAAAACCACGCGGACGCAGCCCACTCGCGCGTGGCCCTCACACACAGGCCGACCCGCGGCGGGAGGGAGCCGCGCGCGTGTGGCTATTTTGCAAAAACATCCTTGCTCTTTCTAGTATTAACGCAGCTCTTATGCGTCCTGTTCCTACAGTCGTCCCTTATTCCGATAGGCCCTTGCACTAACCCATCTTTACATCTGGCCGGTCCCCGATGCCCCCGTGCACGCCGGCGTGGCGTTGGCTGGCACGGGGTTGCCACACCGGCCAACCGGGAGCCTTTCCAACGCACCTAGGAGGTCAATCCTCATCTACGGGACGACACGCAACTTCGGGCAGCGGTTGGACGAGCCGAGACGCAGTAGAATGTCCTCTCCATGATAACGGGCTCCCTGCGGTGGCGGCGGCCAAGTTTCGGTGAGCCATGGGCTTTCGGAAGTGGTAGAAATAGTTGGTGAGCACCAGTGACTCACCACGAACCTACCCGTGGCGATGGCTCGACCGAAGATGACCCGAGCGAGACTGGCTGCGTTAGCGGCGTAGAGATGGTGGTAGGAGTATGGCTTAGGTGCGCATGGCAATGAAGGGTTCTAGACGGGGCTAGCGGCATAGTCAGTCTGGCTCGAGATGGCGAGGTGGAAGCTGTCCACGGTGAGGTGGGCTGGGCCTTAATGCCGCGGTGGCGGAAGCTGAAAGCTCTAGTTTGGATTTTGGTGAATTGATGAAACCCTAAGTGCTAACCTAGTTTATCAAGTGATCATGAGATAGGTAGCACACTCCAAGTGGTGAAGCAAATGAAGATCATAGCATGATAAAGATGATGGCATGGTGATGATCAAGTGCTTCGACTTGGAAAGAAGAA